CAGTTACTCCTGTATTCAAGAAAGGTAATAAAGTTGATTGCAATAATTATCGTCCAATCAGCCTGGTTCCTATCGTCAGCAAGGTCATGGAATCGATTATTTCGGAAGCTATGTCCGAGTTCCTTCTTCAAGAAAATGTCATCCCTCACTAACAGCATGGATTTATTAAAATTCGTTCAACGCTCACAAACTTACTTCATTGTGTAAATGATTGGTCATTATCTTTAAACAATCGGAATCCTGTCGATGTAGTTTACTTAGCCTTCTCCAAAGCTTTCGATCGTGTTCCAAAACGTCGATTACTAGCTAAATTGGATCACTATGGTATCCGCGGAAAATTAAACATTTGGATACAAGATTTTCTATTCGACAGATACTTCAGGGTTTGTGTTGGGGAAGACCACTCACTAGATAAGCCAATCAAGAGTGGAGTTCCACAAGGATCAGTACTTGGACCGCTACTTTTTTGTGTCTACACTAGTGATCTTCTGCTCATTGTATCCAGTAAGGTTTCCATTTACGCTGATGACACTAAGTTATATGTGAATCCAACTATTAACCAACATATTCTTCAACAAGATCTTGACGCAATATTCAAATGGTCCTATGAATGGTTACTTCCGCTTAACATTGAAAAATGAGTTGTTTTACATATCGGCAAAAATAACCCGACATATTTTAAACTCTGTCACCTCACACAACCATCTCGGAGTGATAATTAATAGTGACTTAAATTGGTCTGATCACATAGTGTCGGTGTGTAAACGTGCTAACTTGAAACTGTTTTTGATCCATAAATGTTTTGCACGCATTTCTCTAACCTCTGTTAGTAAATTTTACTTAATATACGTTAGACCTATTCTTGAGTTTGCCGAACCAGTGTGGAATCCAGATCTTAGTCGCGATAAAATCCTACTTGAAAACGTTCAGCGTAAAGCCACAAGACTGGCATACGGTCGTGTAAGACCTAACTATGAAGATAGACTATTCATGGCTCATCTTACGACATTCGAGCAGCGACGTCTTTGAGGTGACCTAATTATGTCCTTCCGTATTTTAAAACATAATTTTGGGAACCTAAACACCATATTCACTTTGAATCAAGACGAAAGACCATTAAGAGGCCATCGATACAAATTAAAGAGGGAACAAACTACTGCAAGGTCCAGGGCGAACTTCTTGCCAAACAGAATCTTTAATATCTGCAACAATTTGGATCAAGACACCATATCGGCAGCTAGTGTTAACATCTTTAAAAATAAACTTGATAGCGCTTTATTTTTTTTATAGGATAGGATATTTTTTCTCGGACAGCATTATTTATTTATTTATTGTGTCACAATTCAATTTTTGTTAATTGTTTAACTACTTAACTTTATAATTAGTATTAGTTTTATTTATAAGGATATATTTTATTTTTGTTTATTTTTGCTTTTTCGGCATAATAGGAGCTCGCTCCTCTGCCCTTATTTGTTACATAATAATAATCATAATAATAATAAAACTATGTTAAGGGATGCTTGTCCCTGCAAGCGGAGGCAAGGCTTACTGGTCCAACTTGTCTTAATGGACCTGATTTCGCCTTCGCTGATTTACAAGAGGGTAGGGAAAAACCTGGATACGGATATGAAGGACGTCCAGATTTCAGGCCCTGTAAAGAGTTGAGTAAAGTGTGTAAAGAACGAAAAGGGCATCAATGTAGATGGAAAATTTTTAAATAACCTTAAATTTGCAGATGATATCGTTCTTATTGCAGACAGCTTTGATCAGGTACAGATAATGCTCCAAGAACTCCATACTGCCACAAAAAGAGTCAAAAAACACAATTTATGACAAATTTAGTCCACAACAAAAACATCTCAGTAGAAGACAAAGATATTGAGCCAGTTGACTCCTATAAATACTTAGGCCATGAGATCAGAATAAGTCGTTACAAACCAAACAATCGAGCTGAAAAGAAGAATAAACCTCGCTTGGGCTGCATTTGGAAGGATGAAGGATATTTTTTAGGTCTAAGATTTCAATGTGTCTGAAAAGAAAAGTATTTAATCAATGTATTTTGCCAGTGATGACCTACGGCGCAGAAACCCTAACGCTCACAAGAACAACAGTGAGTAAACTACAAGTTGCGGAAAGAGCAATGGAGAGAATTATGTTAGGGATTTCTCTACGTGATAGAATACCCAATGCTACTATACGCAAAAGATCAGGAGTAGCAGACGTTATTGAAAGGATAACAACACTAAAGTGGAACTGGGCAGGTCATGTAGCAAGCAGGTCATCATCAGTTGATGACCGGTGGACAAAAAGAATTTTGGAATGGAGACCCCGAATACAAGCATACAGAAATAGAGGTCGACCCCCAACGAGATGGACAGATGACATAAAAAGAGTAACTACAAATTGGATTCAGATGGCGCAAAATCGGACTAAGTGGAAGAGCATGCGAGAGGCCTATGTTCAGCAGTGGACGTTAGAGGCTAGTTGATGATGATGATGAAAGAGTCTATGGGCTTGCTTTAGAAGCGGGAGAAATGTATAAGCGAAGTGTGTTCTTTTCTAGTCTCTACCTGTAAACAGCCGGGAAAGAACAATAAAACCCAATTCCGAACTAATAATATATTAAATAAATTGTATACTACAACTAAGACAACAAGATATCAGTTTTATCTAATTATTGTTTATTCAGTTGCGAAAGGAGACGAGAAGAGAGCTTACTAAGAATTATAAAGGGTGGATAATCTACGATTATTATGTATTTCATTAGTTCTTCTTCTTAAAGTGCCCTCTCCTCAATGGAGGTTGGCTAGTACAATTTTAAACTCTTCTCTATCTTCAGCTGTTCTTATTAGCTGTTCATAATTTAGCCCTATCCATTGTCGGATGTTTCTAAGCCACGATAGTCTTTTCCTTTCTAGGCCTCTCTTTTCCTCGATTTTTCCTTTCACTATAAGTTGGGCATATTGGTACTTATTATTTCTCAGTATGTGACCTAGGTATGATGTTTTTCTAACTTTTACTGTGTTAAACAGTTCTCTTTCCTTGCCTATTCTATGCAGCACCTCTTCGTTTGAGGTATGCGATGTCCATGAAATGTTGAGTATTCTCCGGTAGATCCACATTTCAAAGGCCTCCAATTTATTTACGGTTGATATTTTAAGGGTCCACGTTTCAACTGCATATAGAAGAGTCGACCAGACGTAGCATTTTGATAAACGTAGTCGAATTTCGAGTTTTATTCGAGAATCACAAAGCAGTTTTTTTATTTTTTCGAAAGATTTTCTGGCCTGTTCTATTCTCGATCTTATTTCTTGATCAAGATTTAGGCTGCTATCGATCCAACATCCCAGGTACTTAAATCTATTGACCTGTTCTAAGATGTGCCCATTTATTGTGCAAGGTTGAGGTACGTTTTGGTTTTTTCGGATTGACATCACTTTGGTTTTTTTAATGTTTATTTTCATACCAAATTGCTCATTTCATTAGATAGGTTAGTATTTATGTTTAGTTACCTTAGCGTATTTAGGCCCTAGCTAATGAATACGCCTTTTCAGTCCAAAAGGAACTTAGGTACAGTCTGCTGAGAGTACTGTACGCTATCACGAATTTCCGAGATACGAACAATCCTGTACTTATACGGTACTACCGTTTCCGTCAGATATACTAACGCGCTCACTGAGCTGAATACATACCGTACGGTGATTCTACTGGCACACCCCTAGACCGTCAAGTCCTTACTCGCTCCGGTTGCCAACACTACTCCCCGGGTCGCTGTACACTACTGGCCCGCTGACAAACTTCGTTTTTATGTTCCGCGAACTGCTCCACCTGGTAAAAATGGATATGAATCCCGTTCCTAATTTGTGTTTCGTTTGATGGCATCTATAATATATCATAGAATTCTTTTTCTCTAATATTTTATTTCACAACCATCTCATTTCCTGAAGTGTAATTATATCGCTCTTATATAATTCTACACTGTTAATGAAAGATTGCAAGGCTCATGTCCTGTATAGAGATCTTACATTCCACGAGAATAATCCTAAATCATTGATATTTTTCTACGCCCAACCCCTAACCTGAAGGACCAGTTCACCCTGGTAACTTCTGATTTACTTAAAATAAAAACCTGGTCTGACTCTCATTTTCTCTCTTTTAACGTAAATAAAACAGTAGAATTATCCTATAAAGGAGCTCTTCAGTTCTTGCTCCTTAATAACAGCAACACAGAGGGAAGTGCCACCCAGATGTCAAGCACAAATTTTGGAATTTACGAAACTTCTGAGAGGAAAAAATCATCAGAAATGATCAGAAAGTCCTACATTATTAATTGTAGATCATATAGCAAGGAGTGAGAAATCTGAGACAACATAATCAATTATGGTAGATGTTGTTTAGTCATTCTTGTAGGAGAATTAACGTACATTGTAAAACCATACGATTCAAATATATTGACCAAGGATAATCGGGTAGCACAAGCAACAGCGTAATTATTATTCAAGTCAACGCGTAGAATCTTTCTGCTTTTATTGGGCAGGTCGTTTAACAAATTTAACAGGTTTCGAAAAAGTAATTCCGTGGAAGAATCAGGTGATATATAAATGCAAAAAATGTGTAGATTAGGATTCTTGTTATAAATCAATGAAAACTCAAAAAAGGATTCATTTAACAGAAAGTCGTATTTTGTTATAGGAGAGAAATCATTTTTTTATTGTAGAAATAATTAGGGTGCCACCATGAGCTGAACTTAGCCGTTGCAATCCATTTCATTTAGCTTTTATATAAAATGTTATGTTCTTTATAAAATTCTTCATATTTTGTGCCAATGGTTGTAGTATATCTAGAAATACAAGAGTAAACGCATCTAGAGCCGAAAACTACCAGCGTGGAAGAGATTCACACGCTGTGTCCCAAATATTCAACGTATCGAGGTGAAATGACGTAATTGGACGCTAGGATCAAACGATGTTTCATAATATCAATTAAAAAAATTCAAAAGTAATTCAAAAATTGCAGTTTATTTTATAAATAATTTAATGTACTTAGTAGCTTCTACAAAACATGTCCCCATCTTCGATGGATAAAGTTAGCGCATCTCTCGGCAATCATAACAGTCGGAGCATTAGTATTAGAGCTTGTAACCACAGGCATAGCCGAAGCGTCCGATACTCTTAAATTGTGAAGACCAATAACCCTAAGTTCTTGATCTACAACAGACCATATATCGTCAGTGGAACCCATACGAAGTGTACTGGCTTGGTGATTTTCTGGACCAGTATCGTAGCGAACTGCACAGCGCCAGTAATCATCAGAGTCAAAGCTGTAACATACAAAGTAAACGTTATTAATTTTTAAAACATACGTGGAAAAAATTCTACTTTAAACTAAGATATTTTAGTATATTAATAATTGAAGGAAAGTAATGTCTATTTTACTCCTATTGGCAAATTTGATATTAAAAAGAAAAGATGAAACTGTCAATCAATTAACCAATGACAGGTAGAAATGTATTTTCTATATTAAAATTAATTAGTCACAATTAAATTAAAAATAAGGAAGATTTATTAACAACAAAAGATATGCAGATGACACCGTGATTATGGCAAGCTCTGCTGAACAATTCCAATTACTGCTAAACAAAACAAACAATTTCTGTGAAAAATATGGACTAAAAATGAATATAAAAAGACCAAATACATGATAATAACAAAGAAAACAAATAGACCAACAAACATTAATTTGGGAAATGTACCGATAGAAAGGGTTAATAGACGGCACTTAAAGAAGAAGAAGAAGAAGAATTATACATAGGTACAAATATTAGACATTTATACGCCAAAAGTACAAGGGTAAGTTATGGCAAAGGTAAAAACTTCAAGTAGCTGGCTTGATTTTTAAAGCTTATGGAAGAGCATTAAGCATTGAAATTGCAGTCTATGATATAACTAGTGGAGTATTGTTGATCGCATGGTCTTGTGTGCGGCTGAAAACTTAAATGATCACGAAGGCAGTGAAACTTGAGAAGATGGTGAAAAGGAAGAGTCTAATGAGACAAACAAGGAACAACTTAGATCTACAACAGGAGCTAATGTAGAGCACGAAGTAATCTGGCCTGAACTATGTAGTCCTAAAGAGAGTTTAGTTACGACTAGTACATCCACTAGACCTACTAAACAAACTCATAAAGCAAGTCCAAAACCTAACATTTTAATTGATCCAATTTTCCCGATAACGAAGCCTCATCCAAAATCCAAGAAGAAAACAGCACAAATGGCAATGGATTTGACGGGAAGTCCATATAAAAATAAATTAGAAATTATCTAAACAGCTACAGTTAGCACAAAAACAGATAAAACAAATAAAAATGAAGTTGGGGAAGGTTTCCCAACACCAGCATTATTTCTAGCTTTATTTTGGAGCACCAGAAAAGTGCTCCAAAATAAAGCTAGAAGGAAAACTTAGTTTTAAAACGAGCAAAGAAGCTGTCAAGGAAAAACTGTGAAAATCCTACAATGTACACAATCCTGTGAGTCTGTTCTTATAAATGCCGTCAAGCTCAAATCAACCTGACGTTGTTATAGATATATGTGTTGATGAGTGGTTTTGTTTAATTTGTGAGAAAAAAGAATTGAAGACGTGCTCCAATGCACCATATACCACTCACGGAGGCAATAACTTTGTGCAGCAAATTGGCAACTCTCCTCTATTATAAGAGCACAAAATCTAAAAAAACTAGAGACAGAAGTTAAAATATCTGTAGCTCTCGAGTGCAAAGTTTATGTCGCACAAGATGTGTAGTGCTTTTAAAAAATTTTGGTATAAATGTAAATAGTTGGTAAAAAAGTAAATGATAACTAAGTAAGCATGAGCAAAAGTTGGGTTTGTATTTATAGCGTACAGGAAAATGAATGTACTTACGTATATTCGTCAGCACAGGTGCCATGAGTGACATTATCATATACAAACTGCCATTTATCTTTTAAAGTTGGACTGCTTGTAAGCTGTTGAACAAGTCTGATAGCATCAATGAGTCTATCTTCGTCTTCTTTTACCGTTAAGTAGTTTCCTACCATATGTGGAGGTGCCAGGGGATCGTTAGACTTCAGCGTAATTCTACCACGACTCTTGGTGTGTAAATTAACAGCACTAATAGAAACGTGTTGTGGTTTTTGAGGATTAGCTGGATCAGCTGGTTCATTAACTTCGCCGTCTGGGGAGCAAGTAGTTTGACTCAAAGTGAAGAACATTTGAATGTCTGGATCATCAGGGGTTGTATATTTAGATGGAAGTCGACTTGTAACAGCAAGTCCTAGAAACAATAAAAAAGTCATATACTAATTTTAAATTTAATGTTAAATAAGTAAGTAGACATATTGTGTTAAAGTCATTAACTTAATTAACTAATATAATTGAATTGCAATAATAAAACATTTGTTTTAGCGCAATTTTTAGATTATCTATTTAAAATTTACTGGTCCAAATATAACGAGCGATCCATAGTTATTTTTATCAAGGCTATCCAAGCAAAAATTGGCTTATGTCTTATTTTCATCGGAAATTTGTATCATTGCTTTATAAAATAATTTTGATTATCGTTGTAAAAAGTCAGCCAAAACTTTTAACGCAGAACTTAAATCAAAAATTAAACAAATTAAACAAAATTCATGCACTCCGAAGACACCGTGACAATAATAAACGATAAAGTTATAGAAAAAGTTGAAGAATATATATACTTGGGACAAAAAATAATCCTAAATAGGAAATTCAGACTGAAGAAATAAAAAGAAGAAGAAAGTTAGCTTGGGCAGCATTCGGTAAACTGAACTATATACTCAGAAATCAACAAATTCAATTACATCTTAGATCTAAAGTTTTTGATGCATGCATTATCCCGATATTAACTTATGCGGCACAAACATGGACAATCACAAAAAAGAATATGAATATACTTAGAGTCACTCAACACGCGATGGAAAGAGCAATGCTAGGTATATCACTTAAGGACAAGAAAACAAACACATGGATAAGACAGAAAACCAAAGTCACCGATGTGGTGCAAAAAGCATTAAAGCTGAAATGGGAATACGCTGGACATGTAGCTAGGAGCGATCTAAACAAATGGCACAGATCAATTTTAACCTGGAGACCATACCAACACAAAAGACCCAGAGGCAGACCTCCTATGAGATGGACAGATGATCTGAAAAGGACTGCCGGGAAAAATTGGCTACAAGTAGCGTACAATAAAAAACAATGGAAAGGAAGACTTGAAGAGGCTTATGTTCAGATGTGGACGTGAATGGCTAGACGAAGAAGAAGAAGAAGAAGAAGAAGAACAAAATTATAAGTAATAATAATAAATAAAATCAAAATAGTTTAGATTTTGTTAGACAGTTTTCTATCTTTGTTAACGCTCCTTAGTACTTCTTTATTAGTTTTCCTTGTTATCAAAGGTCTCTTTAGCATTTGTCTATAAACCCACCTTTCCAATGCTTCAATTTTGTTCATGATCGATACTTTTGAGCAAACAAAAGCAGTATGACGAAATGGAAAGAAATAGAAAACAGTCAAATAGTCGAGCATTTTACAAATCTGTGTCAAACGAGAAGAGAGGATTCAGACCTAACTGCGTGTCTGTACTGAGGAAAAATAATGATGAATTAATAATCAACGAACAAGAATTACTCCAAACATGGCAAGAATATTTCAAAAATTTACTTAATATACACCAAGATGAAGAACATGGAGAGGATATATACCTTGGGATGAACATACCGGTAGAGTACCCAAAAATAGACGAAACATTGCAAGCAATTAACAAATTGAAGAACGCAAAAGCTCCAGGCTCTAACAATATACCAGCCGAATTTCTTACGTACGGAGGAGAAACTTTACATAGACAATTACACAAACTAATAACACTTATATGAAACGAAGAGAAAATACCAACAAAATGGCACGAAAGTGTAATAATTCCTATCCATAAAAAGGGAGACAACACCAAGTGCTCTAACTATAGAGGCATCTCCCTACTTAATACGGCGTACAAAATCTTATCGAACATCCTATTAAGTAGACTAACATTTTTTGTAGAAAATTTCATAGGGGAATACCAAGCCGGATTCAGAAAAAATAGATCGACCATAGATCAGATTTTTACTCTCAGGCAGCTGCTTGAAAAAGGATGGGAATTCAATAGAACCATGCATAATCTCTTCATATATTTCCGACAAGCATACGACAGCATTAAAGGGGATCAGATGTTGAATGAAATGGCAGAACTTTCAGTTCCAAAAAAACTTATCCAGCTCGTTAAAGTTTGTGTAGATCTAGAGTGCGGATAGGTAACAAGCTCTCAGAGTCGTTTGAAATAAACAGTGGACTGAAACAAGGAGACGCGCTGTCACCTCTCTTTTTAATATAATCCTGGAAAAAGTAGTAAGAACCGCACAAATTAGAACAGAACTACTGACAGTAAATGGACCAAAATCACTACTAGCATACGCGGATGACATTGACATTGTAGGAAATACCGTCACCAATGTAAAAGAAACCTTGAATAAATTAGAGAGAGAGGCAAAAAATTCCGGTCGAAGGGTCAATGAAGAGAAAACCAAATATATGTGCATTAACAGACAAAAGAGACGAGATAGAATAGGACAAAATGTAACAATAGACCCCTATAACTATTGAAAGAGTGGAGAGTTTTAAATATCTCGGAGCGACTATCACCACAGATAACGATATCACGGAAGAAATAAAAGGGAGAATTCAGGCAGCAAACAGATGTATGTATAGCCTCCACAACACTCTTAAATCCAAGAGCCTAACACGAACATCAAAAATCAGAATATATAAAACAGTGATTAGACCGGTGCTCATGTATGGGTGTGAGACGTGGACGCTGACAAAAGCAATGGAAAGTAAACTCAGATACTTTGAAAGAAAAATCCTCAGAAATATCTTCGGTCCCTATCACGATCCGAATACTAACCAATACTGAATGAGAACAAATGCCGAGGTCAAACAAATGTATAGTGCTAGCGACGTAGTCCAAAAGATTAAATCCCAACGTCTAAGATGGGCTGGCCATGTTCATAGGCTCCCTATTAACCGCCTTACCAAGTTAATCTGGGAAAAAGTCCTGACAGGAAGAAAGCCCTTAGGATGTTTACGAATGCGATGGAGAGATAATATATGGTCAGATTTGAGAACAATGGGCTACCCACTGACTTAAACATCATGGACGACCGTTCGAAATGGAAGCAGGTTGTGCAGTCAGCCAAGACTTACCCCCGCGTTGTAGTGCTACCAGAAAAAGAATAAGTAGTTCTCCATTGATTTTTATTCAATATGGTTGTCTCTCAAGTGCCTTTTTAAACAACTGGTCCGAGTAAACATTGAACAATGTTGGCGACAAAATGCAACCTTATCTGACTCCTCGTTATATGAAGATTTCATCGGTGTAGTTAACTCCAATTTTTACGATAGCAATTTGATTCCAGTACAAATTTTTAATGACACGAATATCCTTGTCATCTATTCCGATAGTTTTCAGTATTTACATTAATTTTACATGCTGTACTTTATCGAAAGCGTTTTCAAAGTCCACGAAACATGCAAATAAATATTTTCTTTGGTCATGGCATTTTTGTAATAGGATTTTAAGCGCAAAAAGTGCCTCCCTAGTTCTCATAGCATTTCTAAAACCAAATTGGGTGTCTTCTACATCTTCTTCGCATTTTTGTCTAATTCTGTAGTGAAGTATTCTTAGGAAAATTTTAAGAGTGTGGTTCATTAGGCTAACTAATTTCTGAGGATTTTCTCATATTGTGTTTTTGTAGGTATTGCGACAAAGATGGATTTGAGCCAATCTGTGGGAATCACTGCAGTGTTGTATATTGCATTAAAAAGTGTTGCTGCTACTTAATGTTATCATCCTCGATTAGTTTTAGCAACTCAGTTGGTATATCATCTGGACCACCAGCTTTTCTAATTTTAGCATTATTTATAGCGTGTTCTACTTCGCATTTTAAAACTTCTGGTCCGTCAGTACAGTTAGTAATCCTGTCATCTTCAAATAACTATGATATATACAGCTGCCATTATTTTCTTATTTTATGCTCATTTACAATAATTTTGTTATTATTGCCAACGAGTACAGAGGGAACTCTTTTTTTAAATATGTTACTCACTTCTTCTAGTTTTTTGTGCACATTAAATAAGTCGTGTTTAGATATTACATCCTCCATTTCGTCGCACCTTTCTCTCATCCATTTTTTCTTTGGCTAATTTGATCCCCTTTTTTATTCTTCTCTGCAGGTGTCTATATTCTGTTTTATTAGATTTTATCAGTCTGTTTGTAGGTAGGCAAGGTCCTACTAGTCGGTCTTGTGGTCTGAAGTATTTTTTCATGTCGTTGGAAGCCTTTGAGCATCATCTCTTTGGTTTAGACTGTTGAGATTTTTTTTCAAAAAAAGTTGAAGGACCACCGATGGGTTCACCACTCTCACCGGTAATAGCAAACCTGTTTATGCAAGAAATAAAACAACGAGCAATAGAAACAGCTTATCACAAACTCAAACTTTTGGCTTAGGTAGGTAAATGACTTTTATAATGGAGTAGAAAAACTAAAGGTATTTTTAGAACACATCATAAAGTGTTTAAAATACTTCGAAGAATTTCAAAAATAATATAAAATTTAACTTTTTTCTTTTTTTTTTAATCAACAATAAACAAAATTAAAACCAAAATTAATAATCTTCTTAATATAAAGTCTTCCTTTATCAGTCTACTCTTTTTTCGTTTACCTACATTTAAAAAAACTTACCTGAGCTAGCGAGAGGTCCAGTTCTTTTTATAAGATAATCCTGTAAAGTTTGCCATGTAATGATTTTAGTATCAACTGTACTGTTAACCCAGTAATTCATACTAAAAGCTACATGGTTAGTTAAATTGTGTCCTACACCGGGTAAATTATGGATCTGTTTAATTCCAACAGCGTCCAAAGCGTCTTTTGGTCCGACTCCAGATTGTAACAAGATTTTAGGTGAGTTCATGGTTCCGGCAGCTAAAACGATTTCTTTATGAGCTTTCACAGTGAAGGTCTTATTGTTGTAGACGAATTCAACTGCGTAAGCTTTTTTATTGTCGTCGAATAGTATACGGGTCGCAGTGGAGTTTAACATCACGTGCAACTTTGGGTTATTTCTTTGAGGTCTAAGGAAGGCTTTAGCCATACTGACTCTGGAACCGTCTCTAAAAATCAAATTAAAAATCATTAAGATATTGATATATTTTATAAATATACTGTATCTTCGATGAAAAGCATAGACAATAATACAAAAACTATAATACCGTGGAACTCTAAGGTTTTCTATACTAGTGTAGAGATGCAAGATATTGTTGGTGTCTTTAAATACATATATGACATAGCATGATCTTTTTTCCTTATATATCGAATATTTTGAATAAATAAAAGAAATGAATTTTTTTGGTACGCCCCTGACTTGTACGTTATTTACCTAATTATAAGTAAGAGCAATATCATTATCCAAAATTATGTAATATTACACAAAAAAACGCATAACCAACGATAAAAATACCATGATAAAAATGATAAACAATATAAATAGAAAATAAACTGAAACCCAAGGATTTTAGGATATTTATATATTTTTTATTTTTATTATTTTGAGTTAAATGTTTGGTAAATCGCTTATAAAAAATTACTAAAAGCTAAACTATTAATAAAAGATATCTCTAATTTTATTATTCAATTTAATCAATTCAAGGGTAATAATTTTCGGATGTAGATAAATAATTATATTTTAGACAATGATATAAGTAAGTACGTACTCAATATATTATCGATACTTTGAAGTGTTTACTTCTAAAAGTATTTAGGTATTTTGTAAACAAAAATCACATAATTTTATGACAGAATCATTGCATAAGTAAAACAGATATTAGATACCGCTAGCATATAATATTGTGTAGTACTTGTAGGAGATAAGACATCGGAGTTACCCTTCAACTTTGAATTACTAATCGTAATTATCCAAGTTGTTAATTTTATTGAATCTAAATAAAATTCTTTTGAATTGAATATTTTTGGAATTACTTCCAAGTTCTCACAGGAATAATTTTGTTTATTTCTGTTGACCACTGTCTCTTCAATCTTCGTCTGACTTCTGGTCTTGCTTTAGTCTTGCTGAAGTTTAGTTGTCTTGCTTCCTCGTTGAGGTGGACTAGCAGATGTTCTAAATAATTTCTTGTTAATCTACTGATTTCGTCTTCAACGAACGGTATACGAAGAGTCATCATGCGGTGTCTTAATACTGTTTTGATACTAACGTATTGCGCATTGAAAATCAGTCTGAGTATTTTGGATAGGATCCTCTGAATGATTTTGGTATTAGAAGGCTTTACACATCCCCATAGTTGCACTCCGTATGTCCATACAGGCTTTATTGTGCACTTATACAAGAGTATAAGTATCTGTAGATAACTGTAATTTTCAGCCCATTAGCCAATTGATTTGAGGTATTTTCATGTTGATTTGGATTTTTTTGAAAAGATATGTGCTTTTCAAATTAGCTTTTGATCAAGTGTCATTCCCAGGTATTTGACTTGTGTTTTTACTGGTAATAATATGTTGTTCAGTCTGATTCTCGGACATATGATGTTCCTGTTGGTGAATGTAATTTGTAATAAGAGGTTTCTGTAAGAAATCTGACTTGAAAGTAACGTTCTGTGTGGTATGATTTTAAGAGTAGATAGTGAGGAGTGGGAAATGATGACTTAAACTTATACAGGAGAGCCGTCATGCCAAAACACGGTCGAAGGTTTTTTCTATATCCAGAAGGCAGCAGTGCAAATTTTTTTGTCTTCAAGGCATACATTATTATTTTTAACAATCCTATGACATTGTTGTAGAGTTACAATGGGCCTTATTAAGATCACTGAATTAATTTCAATGTCTTCTGAGTTTCTTTGGAGCAGAAGTCTTTCTAGGATTTTTGTCATTATTGGAAGTAAGCTGATTGGTCTATATGAAGTAGTAATATCTGGTAGTTTATTTGATTTACTAACCATAATTATTTGTGAGAACTTTCAATTAACCGGGTAGTAGGCTAATCTTATGATATTATTATATAGCATTGTTAGTAGGACAATTAATTGCTTTTCTTGGTATTTCTTTTAATATTAGCCCGATGATCATGTCGAAACCTGGTGCTTTGTAGTTATTGCATCTAGAAATTTGTTCTTTTACATTATTAGGAGTAAAGAATTTAATTGGTACCATCATTGGGCATGGAGTGTCTAAGAAGTTTTTAACTTGTTCTTCGTTATTATTGCTATTAAGTTGAGGTGGCCAAAAACGTGTGAGAGATGTGCAGCAAATTGATGCCTTTTCTTGTTCAGTTTTTCTCCAGCTTCCATCGGCTTTCCTTAGAGATGGTATGTGCTGTGTAGGCCTCTTGAATGATTTCGTTGCTCTGCAGATCCTGTTTTCTTCTTTTAATAGGCTGTTTCTCGCGCCTTGTAGAGCAGTTTTAAGTTTCCGTGTTAATCTATTGTATTCATTTTTATCTCTAGGATTACGACTTCTTTGCCATAAGCATCTGGCTCTTCTCTTTTGTGCAACAAGACGTTTTATATATACGGATATGTTGGTGTCTCTTGGTTCTTTGTCATTCTGAGGGGTGTAGCTACTTCAGCGGCTGCATGTATAGTTTGGGTAAATAATAAGCACAGCATTATCGATATCGTTTGGTTACTTTAATCTGATATTTAAATTAAATTTTCATTTATGTAAGACTCGAATACATTTTAGTTGGTCTTTGATGTTGTCAACTTAGGAATAATCGGACGTTTTATAATTTGCGTAGATCTTGTGACAATTATGGAAGTATGGTCGGTAGATAGATCCCAGGATGCTTGTATGTCAAAATAATTTAAGGCCTGCTATGAAGGATAAAGAAGTCGAGTAGATCTGGGATTTTGTTTGGATCTGATGGCCAGTAGGTGGGTTGCCCTGTAGATAAGTAAGAGCTGTTTGTGTTAGCTATGGCTTGTAAATTATTACATGCATTGCAAACTTACAGTTTTTGATAATCTTCATTATTATGAAAAACGAAATCCAAAAATACTTCATGATGATTTCATATTATTTAATTACATCAGGTTTAGGTAAGATAAGCATTTTCACAGTAGCTTTGCTAGATACTTTATTGGGCAGTCAATAGACCCTCTTATTTTGAGTAAGTCCAGGAATCCACTGGTAAATTATAGTCGCTAAATAAGTATACAGTTATATCTGGCAAACGTTTTTAAACAATGACTTAGGTCTTGTGATAAGTTCGTAGTAATGTATTCTCTACATTATTAATGTCAGATTTCATTTATCTAGCTTGAAAATGGTTTACGTAACAAAACAAAAACCCTCCTCCATGCTTCTTAGTGCTAGTTCGTAAGTTAACATCACAACTGAAAATGTGGTAGCCAGAATTTGATAATTCATTATCTGAGTAATCTTGATTTAGCCTAGTTTCTAACAGAAATATTACATCATAGTTACATTGGGAGATGGGGGTTAAAAGTTCATTTGGTCTAGTACGTATACCCCGAAGATTCTGATAATAGATAAAAATAGAGTTTAATAAGTTTGAAGCTTTTTGAAGAATTTTTTTAAGCAACTGTTAAAAGTGTATTTGTAAATTTATTAGTCAAGTCAGAGTATCTCTTATGATATTATATATCATAAAAAGATATTGTAACATTTTTACTCTAAAAAATATGGTTGAATGGTAAATATTATATAATTTTATTTTAGTATGCCATAAATGCTTGTAATAAATTTGCAAATGAATACACATTAGTTGATTTTATGTAAGAACATTAAATTACACTACATTAAAAGGTGGTCTATAAATAGCATACATTTATGAAGGAAAAAAAATATTATTTGTAACAAAAATATTAATAATTGGCCGATAATCAGCATTTTTTACAAATTTTTTGGATAATAGTACTACCATCTTTAACCAACCACATGCTGATGGTAAAGTAAAGTAAAGTATAGTCCGAAACTATAGAGGCATATCGCTTATTAGCACATCATATAAAGTGCTATCAATTATCTTGCTAAAGAATCTCACATCATGTTCTAAAAATATTCTAGGCGACCACCAATGCGGCTTTTTATGCTGGAAGATCAACATAGATCAGATATTTACCGTCCGACCAATATTAGAGAAAAATTGGGAATTCAACCGTGATGCACCAAATTTTCATAGGTTTCCAGCAAGCATATGATTCCATAAAAAGAAACAAATTATGGATATCAATGTTAGAAATGGGAATACCAAGAAGAATAGTTGAATTAACGCAAAAATGCGTGACAAACTTATATGGGCAAGTAAAGACAGTAAGCAGAACATTTATACCATTTGGTATAAATTCAGGACTTAGTCAGGGAGACCCCTTGTCACTTTTGCTGTTCAAGTTTGTTTTAAAATATGCATTAGGTAAAATATCGTCTACTAATGTAATTACTCAAACAGTAGAAGAGAACAAAGGTTTAAAGATAATGAAAAGAAAACTTACGCAAAGTAAAAAAGAAATATACAAGCTGAGAGATAAAGACGGAAAGGCAACAACAGATAAACAAAACATTCTGAAAATAACTAGAGAATTTTATAAAGACCTCTATACCAGCCAAAGACCACAAGACAATTTCCCGACACGAGTAAAGACTCTCATAAATCAGGGATCGGAAATACTTTTACCCATTACTGTGTCAGAAGTAAGAGCAGCTTTAAAGGAAATGAAGAACCATCGATCGCCTGGTGATGATGGACTCGTTATCGAGGCAATAAAAGCAGGTGGAGAAATTTTATTAAAATCAGTAAGCGAACTGTTTACTAAATGCTTACATGCGGGTACGATTCCAAAAAACTGGAACAATGCAGTAATAGTCTTGTTACACAAAAAAGGCGATATTACTAAATTAGAAAATTATAGACCCATCAGCCTCTTGACACATATGTACAAACTCTTTATGAAAATCTTAACAAAGAGGCTAACACCTAAACTTGATTTCTATCAGCCCAAAGAACAGGCAGGCTTCAGGGCAGGATATGGCACAAATGACCATTTGCATACCATAAAGATCTTAATAGAAAAGTGCATCGAGTACAACATACCACTGGTTCTTGCATTTGTCGATTACGAGAAGGCTTTTGATTCTGTAGAGTTTGAAACAATACTGGAAGCCCTAAATCAAAGCCGAATAGATTACAGGTACACGACACTAATCAAAAACATCTATCAGAACGCTACATCAAGTATACGACTGCACGAAGACACAGAAAAATTCAGCTTAGGTCGAGGAGTTAGACAAGGAGACAATATTTCACCAAAATTGTTCACGGCAGCTCTAGAGTCAATATTTAAGAGTACTCAATGGCAAGATATGGGCATCAATATAGATGGAGAAAGATTAAATCACCTAAGGTTTGCAGATGATGTTGTATTAATCGCAGATAACTTACATGATACAGTTTCTATGATGCATTCGCTTAAAAGTCTGTCTGAAAGAGCAGGATTAAAGATAAACTTTGAGAAAACTAAAATTATAACAAATCTCGTAATGAGTGGAAATATAACTATTGATAATAATACCATACAACAAACAGACACTTACAAATATCTGGGACACGAAATCAAAATAAGCAGAGACAATCAAACACATGAAATACAGAGGCGAATAGGTCTAACATGGGCAGCATTTGGCAAATTAAGCCATATTCTAAAAAGTTCAATTCCCATGTGTCTCAAGCGAAAGGTTTATAACCAGTGTGTTTTACCTGTACAAACTTATGGAGCAGAGACTTTAACACTCACGCAAAAAATCTGCGAATAAACTTAGAGTTACACAACGAGCCATGGAACGTGCAATGCTGAACGTGAGCCTTCGAGACCACATAACAAACCAACAAATCAGGCGAAGATCAGGAGTTCAAGACGTCATCGAAAGAACCACGACGCTTAAGTGGAACTGGGCAGGGCACTTAGCCAGAACACAAGATGGACGGTGGACAAGACGTATTATGGAATGGAGGCCCAGAAATTATAAAAGAAGCCGAGGACGACCACCGACTAGATGGACCGATGACATTAAACGTGTAGCGGGAAACTGGCTACAAGCGGCCCAGTGTAGAGAACACTGGAAAGAACTGAGGGAGGCCTATGTCCAGCAGTGGACGCGATTGGCTGATTGATGAAAATATCGTCTGTGCTAACAGGAGAATTTGCTGATCAAGAATCAAAACTGTTGCTGGACTTTTCAATCAAAAAAAGATCTTTTCCGTTCAGACCCCAATTTGTTCTCCTCGCTTCTCCGACCTTTAACTCAAACTAACCTTTGGTTGTCAGCCATCTCTGTCGATCTGAATCTAGTTTTTAACTGCCAGTTAATTAATTTTTTTTAAATTACGCTTTTGATTCGATATGGGACCTTAAGAGTGCTGAGCCTTTAATTTTTTTGTGGGAATTTATTAATTAAGACGCAAATAGACTCTACGCAGTTATTATTTTTTTTTAAATGTCTCGCATAAACACTGGGTTAAGCAAAACTTCAGATTGTTATTATATACAAGCAAGGGGCGCACCAAATAACTTTTTATATATTTTTAATATTCGATAGTTTTAAGGAAAAACGTATGCTACAATTGATGAAACTTATTAGTTGGTTGGATAGTATTAATTTACTGTGTTGAGTAAATAAGGTATACTTACTTAATGTAAGACTGAGGATTAGCAAATCCAGTATAGTTTGCACCGTTTAAATCTTTAGAAATTGGAAATCCAGCTTCTGCAGCTCCTTCAACAAATGCTTTTGCTAAGTCGTGTAAATAATATTGGTCAGACACAGTAACTGGTCCACTGTAACCATGATAGTGAGAATCGTATTCTGCAGGCTAAAAATTGTATTATTTAAGTAATATAATAACTTAAACAAACAAATAAATGGTCTTTATAAAATGTTGATTAGATTATGTGTAAAATCTTGTTTGATCATCAAGATCTTCTTGAGGGTATCCTATGATTACAATGATATAATTTTAATCATATATTATGTGTAATGCCAAATATTTTTAAGTTTTTGTCTACTAACAGTGTCAATATCTATGAGTGAGGTCTAAAACTGATAGCTCATGAAGATCTTGAAGGTATTTGCCATTTTTGGACATAATTCGGATTGTAAATTTGTCGCTAAGGAATTGACGGCGTTAATGCCAGGGACGTTCCACTGCTTCGTTTTCCATTATTTGGACTGGAGCGGATTGTAAATAACATAGTTATAATCTCAGGCATTAATTTTTTTAAACTTCAAGTTTGATTAGATGTGTATTAGCCGCTGATCCAAATAAATGACAGTTATAGTCAAAAATCGGTCTGATCATGCTACGGTAAAACATCAAAGCAATATTTGGATCTGCTCCCCAATTTGTTTTACAGAAAGCTCTTAATATGAACATTGAGTTTTCTGATTATATAACAATTTAATGAATGTGATCTTTCCATAACAATTTTCTGTCTAGATGGGTACCAAGATACTTAATACAGTCTTTTATAGGAAAATCAAATTCTCCCACATTAACTTGTAGAACTCTATGTTTTGTGAAAAGTAACACACCTCAGTTATTCCAGAGGTATTTATTGATGTATAAAGGTTTTTAATCTAACCTTTAAAAGGGTAAATTTAAATAATGTATAATGTTTTTAATGATAAGCAACCAGATTTCACTATCATTGTTATTAGTGACTGTGCAGTAGTTTTTATATATGTAATTCCTTTTTTGTGTAGCGGGATATAAATTAAGGTCCACCAATCAGATGGCTATTTTCCTGAATTCCAAACAACGACACAGCGAAATAAATCATACAATATATTATTTTTGATCATACAAAAATGTGTTTGATAAATTTAAATACATACATTCTTAAACATCTTCTTCTTCTTCTGGTTCCTATCCGTTTCGGATGTTGGAAATCATATTGGCAATCATAACCTTGCTCGCTGCGGCTCAAAACAGCTACGTTGAGGTTTTCTTAAACCATGTTCTTAAATTCCGCAGCCATGATATTCTCCTTCTACCGGGTCCTCGCTTACCTTTGACTTTACCTTGCAATATAGACTGTAGCAGGGAGTAACGGTGCTCATTTTTCATAACGTGTCCCAGATATTGCAATTTTATGCTTTTGATGGTAAACACAATCTCTGGTTCCTTCTTCATTTTTCCTAGAACTTCCGTGTTCGTGATCCTTGCTGTCCATGATATTCTCAGCATTCTTCTATAAAGCCACATGTCAAATGCTTTAAGTTTTTTAATAGTGATGTCTGTAAGCGTCCATGCCTCCGCCCCGTACAACAACACAGAGAAAACATAGCATCTCAAATGTCTCATTTTTGTGTCAAGGGATATGTTGTGACTTTTGAAGATGGCGCTCATTTTGCCATACATATACATACATATAGATAACTAAATATATATTTCAGGAACCAATTATAACAGTTACCCAAAAAGAGAAAGTGAAATTTGTAAGCTGAGGCTAACGCAACGGCGTAGATTCTTGACATGTTGTGAAATAATGATAATAATCTTTTATTATTAAAATTTTTTGATACTATAATAATATTACCTGTAAATTATGTTCAAATTTCTTAAAGAAAGGCAGTACGTCGTTCCAGCCCCAACCTTTAATGCCCTCCCCACGCCACCTCTTATCAAAATCTGGTGGAGTTCCTCTCGTGAACATCATTCCGTTAATAACAGAGCATCCTCCCAGTATTTTTGCTCTTAACCAAGTGCAGCTACCATTAGTTCCTACACAAAGAAAATAAAAAATGTTATCAGGTCATCTGTTAATATGAGATTTAAAATATCTAATTTTTTAAAAAATTACCGTTTTTAACGAATTTTTTGCTGATGTGATATAATGGGAATCTATCACGTATAAACATAAAAAAGAAGATTTTAATATAAACAGGTATATGGTAATTTATGGGCCAAATTACGACAAAATATAATTGAAAACGCCAGAGCTGGTTCCTAAAAAAACTGATGAAACGACACTTAGGAAGATTTAATCATTTTGAGCAGTTTTTTGGAGTCGTCTGACATTCTATTATATTTAATATTACAGGTGTAGGGGGTAGGTACTCTTCCACAATCCCAGAGGAGGGTAGACTTACTTCAGCGATGCGACCCAGTCCTACGTGAGCCGTGATTCTCTCTCAACTCATGTGGAGAGAAATCATGTCCTAACCCCATTCCTACCCAATACATACTATCTTAACAATTTCCCAAACCAACTCACCAACCCGCCTGGTAAGCATGGTGTTTAAATGCCAAAACCCCCCCAGCATGAACAGACATTCAAGAAAACGGCCGTCAGTCTTCGGCAGGTCGCTAGTTCCCAACCAATGTAGCGGTAGGACTCACGGACAGCGGGGAGAGGGTACGAAGAATCCCCAGGCTGTAGGAGGCTACCAGGAACGCCAAACACTGCACATAATTACGTATAATGTAAGAACCTTATCTAAGAATGAAAAAATGACGGAACTGGAGGAAGAACTCAAACATTTAAAATGGGATATTATAGGAATTAGCGAAGTCAAAAGAAGAGGTGAAAATCAGAGCAAACTAAAATCAGGAAACACTTTCCACTATAAAGGGGAAACAGAATCGACAACTAAAGGAATAGGTTTATTCGTACACAAAAAATTACAGAAAAATATACAGAGCATTGACTGCATGTCCCCAAGAGTTATGTATATAAATCTAACATTAAATAAGAGATACAATCTGAAAATAATCCAGGTATACGCCCCAAATTGTTGAAGCCTTCTATAAGGAAATCGAAAGAGTAAAAAAGCAGGAACCGGCTCATTACAATCTGATAAGGGGAGATTTTAACGGTAAACTCGGAAGGAAAAAGGACAAACAAAAAGTGGCAATCGGAGATTTTGGAATTGAAGTAAGAAGCTAAAGAGGCGAAATGCTTACCAACTTTCTACTGCAACAAAAACTGTATGCAATGAGCACCTTTTTTAAGAAGAAACAAAATAAAAAATGGACGTGGGCTAGTCCAGGCGAAAGAACTGATTGTATAGGAGCAAATATGATTATATAATAACAGACGAAAAGCAAATTATTCAAGATGTCACTGTGCTCAATAAACTATCAGTAGGAAGCGTCCACATACCAGTAAGAGCTAGAGTAACGATAAACCTACAAAAAAAGAGCAAAGATGATAAACAGTTACAAACGCATAGTTTGAAATTTACGAAATCAGACAGAAGCATACATAAAAAATAAAGCCGATACTTTACAGAGTAATAATCCCAAACCTCTAAGTATCGACGATCACAATAAATTAATAACAGACTCAGTTAGAAACGCACAACTCGAATTTTGCAAGAAAAATGACACCAAAAGTGAAAAGGTTGGTTATAAACCTTTCGCTTGAGACACATGGGAATTGAACTTTCTGGAATATGGCTTAATTTGCCAAATGCTGCCCATGTTAGGTCTATTCGCCTCTGTATTTCATGTGTTTGATTGTCTCTGCTTATTTTGGTTTGGTGTCCCAGATATTTGTAAGTGTATGTTTGTTGTATGGTAACAAACAGCATGAACAGACAAACTTTCATACCAGTTAAAAATAATGCCGACAAAATTTTCTCTTATGATATTACATTCAAAAATACATGTAACGAATAAGAAAATCTTTTTTTTTTAATTATAATAAAATTTGATTATACCTTGACATGCCACGGGTTCATCGGAAGTACGATAGTCCCAGTCAACAATTGGGTTAGTGTAATATTGTAAAATCAATCCAGGTACTTGATAGGTTTCAGGCTCGTCAATTCCAGCTTCTATGAGTAAGACTGAAGAATGCTGATGTTCTGCCAGACGTCCAGTTACCGCTGATCCACCACTTCCACCTTAAGATATATAAGAATATTAAAATAGAAATCATGTTCAGATTTTTTTATACTTTTTAATGGAAAAGGAAATTATATTGATATTTTTATCTATAGCCCTTTCGAATTACTCATATTTTCCATAAACACTTACCACCTATTACAATAAAATCATAAGATGCTTCTGGCTCTTGTCTGGCATGAACTCTTCCACAGACGTCTGATACATCGCACGTATTCCTAATTATGGCATCCACTAAACTCATAAAAACTATGAAGCTGCCTCCTCCACAATTGTTACCCAAATAGGGTCCATAGAATCCGGGATTAGCGCAACCACAATCCGCCATTGTAGCTCAACTGGAACCAATTCAAAATATAATTATTTAAATTACGTACACCTTAAGTATGTATTAACAAAATGATAGTCCTAATTATTTATTTAAATCAGCAATACATGAATAATTGTTATTGGTTAATATCGATAACAGCAATATTAGAGAATAAATAGATTTTCTGGGCCGTACAATTTCTGGAAAATTAAACCAAGACAACTGTGCATTTTTTATGTTTTATTGTGTAGTTGTTAAAAAAACATTACTACTACTATAGACAAATTCACGAGAGGATTTCACCACAGTGCTCATGAGAAGCCAATTTGCCGCTTAGGCGACTATGCACGTTCATAGTCTGCAGGTGTGATACAGGACCGCGTTGGCCCTCCTGTACGATAACATTAAATCACGCAATCCTATTAGAAGTAAATGTAACATTATTTACAACTTGATAAGCAATATTCCATATATATAAACATTGCTACGAATATTGCTACTAATATTACTCTTTTTGTAAAATTAGCTTATATACTTATTGAAATATTATTTATAAACATGTAAAGTATTTCCTGTAACTTCTTATCCATTTTTGACTGTTACGTTTTAATTTTATGCGGGTGGTTGAACATAATTATTGTTTATATATTTGGTTTTTCAGTGTGTATAATTAAAAATTATCAGATTTTTTAATTTATTGAAAACTTTCCTTTGTTTGTCTGAATCCTTTGTTTTCGAGACAAAGTTAATGTTATAAATATTATAAATATTTTGTTTTAATTAATCTGTTATTTATTTTATGGTTTCTTAGTATAATTCTTCTTGCTCATCCTACTAGATCTTTACAGATCTGAAAAGTTCATATCTTAAATCAGTTTGAGTACTGACGTCAAACAGGAAACCAATATTGTAAGTTTAATAGGAACCGATCTAAAGACAAATAAAGAGCTTGCCATTATATCCATTATATTATTTTAAAAGTAAATTTATTCAAGCAATGATTATTAGCGGAATGATAACAGTTAATTACAATTTGCCTAGTGAACTAGGCACTTAACATTTTTTCTTCCAAACCCTGAAAATGTAAATAAATACTTCGTTAATGCAAGTCAAAACATAACATTAACTATTTTGCTATAACAAGATCACTTTTCTATCTCCCCAATTCAAAAAAATCCTCGAATTCATTCTTTAAAGCAAATCTTCCTGTAGTACTGATGAACTATTTATAAACATTTGCTTAAATCTCCCAAAACATGTATTGGATGTCCTGGTCTTATTAATTAATGATTCCTTTTGAAAAAGATATATTTCCATAGTGCTTAAAGATAGCCATTATTACTCTTTTTTATAAGGGTGGTGAAAATCGAATGTCTGCAACTAAAGACCTAGTCCCTTATTAACTGTCCTATCCAAAGTTATTGAGAGACTTATAAAAGCCAGACTTTTTCGTTGAAAACAACATTTTATATTTTATTACAAAGTCAGTTTGGTTTTTTATATTATAAATATACTAGTGATACTATGTTTTCTGTACTACATAAGATCTATCAAGCATTAAAAAATATTCTTTACACTGCTACTGTTGGAACCATGCCAAAGCTTTTTATTGTAATCACGATATTTGGATAAAAAACTAAATTTCTACGGCATTGAAGGTATTCCTTTGAATTATTTACAATCTTACTTGGGAAATAGGAAACAAATAGTGAGAGTAAATGATACTGGCTCTAGTCACAAAAGCATTATATGTGGCTTTTCGTTATCTTTATAAATGACATCACTAACTTAAAACTCAATGGAGAATTTTTTCTTTTTGATGACGGTACCAGAACCAGTTTCCTAGAGGAACTCTACTATTGCAACTCTTTATACAACTATAACAATCTCTTTTACCATGGATAAGATAGTAGCATTATCCCATAAAGGAGCTCTTCAACTCTTGCTTCTTAATAATAGCCAAATCAGTATTGTTGATTCTGGAAATTTTCTTGGTATTTTTGTAGACATCAACCTTAAAAGGTCTCTTCATATTAATTTGTTAACTCAGAAACTAGCTTCAGCCTACTATGCAATAAGATCTGTTTTGAAGGAAATCAATTTAGCATCTTCCAAAATAAGATATTTTTCTTTGTTCGTCTCATCTTCGATTTGGTCTACCTTTTTGGGGTTCTAGTACAGTTGCCCTTCCTCTTCTTCTTGTGCTACTCCTATCGGAGATGGAAATTATCGAGGCTATCCTGATCTTGTTTACAGCTGACCTAAAGAGTTGATTAGTGGTACAGCTAAACCACTTTCTCAAATTACGCAACCATGACATTCTTCTACGACCTGGATTTCGTTTTCCTTCTATTTTTCCTTCTAGGAAGCATAATGCTCTTTTCATATGATCAATATGGTATCTTTTGGCCTCAGTAGAATAATAGATAACAGAAGTTACTTAAAAAATCACGGGAATCTCGTTCCTCGTTATATATTTTTGAATTTGTTTGCTTAATTCGTAAACACCTATATCTTTCTCCAGCAAGACCTAATCACGACTACTCCATCAGAAATTCAACCTTTGATGTGTATTTACCGATCTCGTCCACTAAGTTAGTAAAAGAGTCACAACTTAAACTTGATATTAGTTTGTAAGATGTTCTTAGGCAATTTATTTAAATTTTGCAATGGATTGTGTATCTTATTATTTGTGATATTGACGATTTATATAATTGCAGTAAATTTTAAATTGTTGTAAGCTGAATTTTTGTAAGATTTGTCTATAAAATTGTAAAATTTTTAGTGACAATAAAGCACTTTTCTATTCTAATTAAAAAACGTTCAATGTATCTGGCAAAATATTTGATAAAATAAATAATATCTACGTGTGTCACAGATGATGATTATATGAATTATTACTTAAATAAAAATCATTTTACGTTCCAGAACAGATGGTTGTTAGATATTTGGGGAAGCATTGTGATATTATATGTTACTGGACCTTCTTTTTTAGACCAAACAGTTACTGGAAATGGTTCGACTATCAAAGATTTTTAACATACAATTTTCCTGGCTTAGTAGAGGATATTTCCTTGAGAAATAGATGGAACATGTAGTTTCAACATGACGAAGCAATACCGCCCTATATAATAAATGTTTTGCTTTTGTCAAATAATAACTACAGCGGCTGTTAGATTAAATACGGTGGTACTGAGCAATGACACTCACACACTCCAGAACTAACTCCACTTGATTAATTTTTGGAGGTACATCAGGAATATTGTATACAACTCACAACATGGGATAAAACGAATATTCGTATAAAACATGTCTTTGTTATCGTTGAATGAGAAATTTTACAAACGTCTTAGAACATCATACTACAATGTCAAAAATATAAATGGAAACATAGTTATATATTCCACAATAACTTAGTTTTATAGTAAACAAATAAAAAGCTAATAAATAAAGAGGAAAAAAAAGAAAAAAATATTAGAATCAATGTCTGCAATCTGTTATCCAACCATCTTATATTTATTATTTTATAGTCTTTGAAAGCTACCCTAAAATAAACTTCTTTATTAACGAATTGGTTTCTAAATCGAAAGAACTTGTCAAATTATAATTTTACAATAAACGAACTTACAAAACGAAAAAAACCAATGCGTAGTTTCCATAATAACTAGGTCTTATATGAAAATTATATTTGATAATACAATATAGGTATTTTAAATCTTAATTGTATTTGTAACTATAGCAATAACTCACCTGTCAGTTGCGATACACGAATGATAGCCACTTGCTTTTTTGTTTTTATATTATAGGTATTATCACAAATATGTATCGCCGGCACATGCAAATTTGCATATCGTCACGATATTTCAAAGGTGATCTAATTCTAGATTAGATTTTTGATTTGAGTAAAAAGCTTCAATGGTTTATCGTTTTGTCGGTTTATTACTGTAATATACAGGGTTTTCAAAACAAGGCAACCCCATCTCTAGGGTAGGTAAAAAACTGAAAAATAATTGGGGTTTGCTCAGTAAAAAATTTTTGTAACGCCATCCGTTTTCAAGATACACGGCGTTGAAGAATTACGCGTTTTTTACGATTTTGCCGAAACTACTGGCAACATTGTAATAAAATTTTATACGAATATGTTTGGGAAGCTGATACATCCCATGAATTTGTTTTTTGGTAAGAATGCTAAACAATGTATTCTAGCAGCAGTTTCAGAAAAATATGCACAAGAACTTATATACGCAAAAAAATATTTCAGCAACAGATTTATGTCCTGAAACAACATTTACTATTTTCACTGATAGTGATTAACTCTTAATCTGGAGCTCTTTCGACAAGTCTGTGACAGTAGCTGAACCTGGGTAAACCAGCAAATCTCGTGCCATTATTGAGGTACAAAGATATTTGGAGGATGAAATTTTACCCAGAAATGAGAATCCCTTAAACTGGTAGCGCGAACACAAATACCACTATCCCATTTTATCAATAATAGCTGAAGAAAAATTATGTGCTCTGGCTTCCTCAGTACCTTGTAGAAGACTGTTTTCAAAACCTGGGCAAGTACTAAATGAAAGAAGAACTAGACTCAGTGATAAACAAAAATTTTATTTCTAAATATGAATTATCAATATTGTGATAATATTGAATAATACCCTTACTTTGTTTATTGTACCGAATAATGGTACAGAAAAAGCAAATTTTTTGCAATATTTAAAATGCTGGTTGGATATTTTTAAGTATTGTACCTTAAAACAGTAAATTAAGTAATATAATTGAGGTATAACCTGATATCGAGGCTAAAATTAGATAAATTTAAACTAATTTGCCCATGCAACTTTCAAATTAAAAACTTAAAAATGATAACTACTAACGAATCGCAATATAACCTAAATATAATTAAAAAAATGACACTTTCTTTATTTCTTAACCTTTTACCACTGACGTGTACTTTCTGGAACATAACTACGGATGTGGTGCCATGTAGACTCCATGTAATTTCTATTTAGTATTGGCAACATTTTTTAAAAATATGACACATTATGTTCAACATAATTTCTTTGATATATTTTACATTAGTGTATTAATTTTTTTTATAGTATTTTTCCAAATTGTTAGTTATTAAGCATATTACAAATTACATATCAAAATAGTTCTGGAAAATTAAAGATCAAATATACAAAATATAAGAAAACAAAATAAACCCAAAAAACAAACCCCCCGTATAAAAAACTACAACACCCAAACTTTAGCAATTTTGGAATTCAGATAAAATGTTACTTCGCACATTCTTTACAAATATTAGCTCTACAGTTATCACACATTGATATCTTACATACATCACATTAATTCTAAGTCTTTTTATCATTTTTTCGTGGATAGAGTCCACATCTTTTTCATTTTTGGTTCATATCGGGATTCACGTTTTCATCAATCATCGGTTTGTTCAGTATTCTACTGATCTTCTTCTTCAAGTGCCGTCTTCGTTCCGAAGTTTGGCTATCATCAAAGCTATGCGTATTTTTGATGCTGCAGATCTAAACAGTTGGTAATTGGTGCAATTGTACCATTCTCTCAAGTTTTTCAACCATGAATGCCTTCTTCTTCCTATAGATCTCTTTCCCATTATCTTTCCCTGTATAATCAATTGCAGCAACTGGTATTTATCTCCCCTCATAACATGTCCCAAATATTGTAGTTTGCGCTTTTTAACAGTAAGTATCAGCTCTTTCTCTTTCCGCACTCTCCGCAAAACCTCCACATTTGTTACTTTCTCTGTCCAGGGTATTCTTAATATTCTACGATACATCCACAACTCAAATGCTTCTATCTTTTTGGTATCAATCTTTTTCAATGTCCATGTTTCCATCGCGTAGAGGAGAACTGACATAACGTAACATCTCAAAAGGCGAATTTTAAGTTTTAGACTTAGATCTCTTCCGCAGAACACCTTTTTCAATTTAGTTAATGTGGCTCTAGCTTTCTCTATTCTGGTTCTGATTTCTTCAGAGCAATCATTATTTTCGTTGATAACAGTTCCCAGGTAATTATATCTTCTTACACGTTCGATTCTTTGATCATGCACGGTTATGTCAGGGAAGTTTTGTGGTGATTTAGATATTAGCATTATTTTTGTTTTGCTTATGTTAAGTGATAATCCATGTTCTTCACTGCATTCTACTATTTTGTTAATTAGTATTTGAAGATCTTCCCAAGTTTCTGCGATTAGTACCGTGTCATCGGCATATCTCAAGTTGTTTATTCGGATGCCATTTATCTTAATACCTATATTTTGATCCGAAAGTGCTGTGTTTATAATGTCTTCGGAGTATAGATTGAATAAGGTCGGTGAGAGTATACAACCCTGTCTTACGCCTTTCTTGATCTCGATTTCCTCCGTTGTCTCTTGCTCTATTCGGATATTTGCTTTCTGGTTATAGTAAATCTTAGAGATAATTCTAATGTCCCTTTTACTCTATATTCTACTGATGTTCATACTCAATTCTCTTGAAAGTCTTTGGTTGATAATTCTTCTATTCAATGAGTTGTTTGGCAAGCAGCTTTAAAAATTCTGCCTCTTATCCTCCTCTATAACTAGACATACTTCACAATTTACTTTTCACTGCTACATATTTCCATAAAAAGGGGCCAAAAACAGAAAACTACAAATTCAACGGATGAATTTGGATCTATACCTGAGCTTACAGCGACCCAAGTCAGAATGACGAAATTATCAAATTCGTTGACATCAGTTGAAATAAACAAAACGCTGAAATAAACAAAACACAAAGAAAATTAAGACGTAGATTATTAATTTGAAAAAGCAGTACTTCGGGCGGCATAAATCAAAGGTGATATTTATGTAAAGGTAATGATACTATTTCTAAATATAACAACAGAAAGTTAATTGTATCTAACCATATAACACCTAGGTTATATGGACTTTCTAAAATTCACAAACACAATTGTCCCATTAGGCCTGTTGTAAGTTTTTGCAAAACTCCAGTTTCTATATTGTCAGAGTTTGTTTATAACACAATTAAATCTATTACTAATTTTAAACCTAAGTTCTCCATTACAAATTCTTTAGATATAATAGAACGTTTAAATAATATCAAAATAGAAGAGAGTTTTTGTTTGGTTTTCTTTGATGTTTCCAATTTGTTTACTTCTGTACCAAGAGATGAAACATTACCTCTAGTACACAACCTTTTAAACAATTGCAACATACCGGCTAAAGACAAAGATGTTTTCTCAACTATGCTCAAATTCTGTCTTGATCAAGACTTCTTCCAATTTAACCAAAAAATATACAAACAACCGACAGGTTTAGCAATGGGATCTCCATTATCACCTTTTCTAGCTGATATTTTTTGGACAGCTTAGAACAGAAATTTGTTAACAACAACAACAAAATAATTTTTTGATCAAGGTACGTTAATGATTGTAAACCTTTGATACAAGGATCCCAAGATGATGCTTTACAGATTCTGGAAGATCTTAATAACCTTCATCCTAACATCTCTTTTACTTTGGAACCAGAAACTGACAATAAGTTGAACTTCTTGGATATGACTATATAAAGATTCTCTTGAGTACAATATTTACAGAAAGCCCACCCAAACAGATCATGTTATACATGAGACATCTAACCATCCAACCCAACATAAAATGGCTGCTTTCAATAGTTATATTCACAGATTACTTAAATTTCTACTTTCGAATGATAACTTTAATTTAGAACTCAACACTCTTAAAACAAATTGCTTTAATTAATGGTTATGATCCCAACATTATCCATAAGCTTCTAAATAGAGCTAAACTCAAAATTACAGAAAAGCTTGCATATTCATCACAAAGTCTTCTTCAACCAAATGCTTCTAACAACATCAGATTATTCTCATTTACTTATATTAGCAACATTTCTAATAAAATAGCTAAACTTTTTACTTCTGCAGTTGAAAACATCAAAATTTCCTTTAAGTCACACAACACTGTAGGTTCCTTTTTAATTAACACCAAAGACAGGCTAAACACACTTGACAAAAGTGGTATTTACAAATTAAAGTGTGATGATTGTGATGCCTCTTATGTAGGCAGAACCATTAGAAAGCTATCTACCAGAATATCAGAATATTTGAAAAGACCAAACTCTTTAAGTTTTGGTCAACATTTAGAGTCTAGTAAACACAATTTCAACATCAATACTGGTTCGTCTATTTTGCATGACTTCAGTAGAAAGAAAAACTATTTGAAGTTGGATCTATTGGAAGATTTGGAGATCACAAAGAAAACGAATGGAAACTCTCATTGTCTTAACACTCAAATTAATTTAAATTGTACTAAATTTAAACCTATTTTTAAAAACTTTATTACAGCTTCACCTCGTAGTGGACCCAGCTCGGCTGTCTAGACTTCCTGCACTGAGTTTATACATTAATAATCTACCAATTTCATGCTATGTTCAGCATTACTATTGTATTTAACAATTTACACAACTAGCTTGCTCATATTCAATTGATCCACAGTTGGAGTTGATTTCACTCTTCATACCTCTGCATAATCTACATTATACTAATTCCACAGTTTTATATTTCAACACCTGTTGGTCAGTTGGTCTTTAGTAATGCTATTACATATTAGTTTTACAGTTCCCCCATTGGCTAAGGTTTAACTGAACTACTTGAACTATACCCATTTACACACTGCTTTCAATTCTGATTTAATTTTAATATTTCAATTTTATAGTCAATTTTTTCTTCTCGTTTTTACAGTATTGACTGTGCCTGGTAGACCATTTTATTGTAGTCAACTACCCACTGTCCAATAGATCGTTTGGTCTATTTCTTTCATTCAC